TTGGGTTATCTCATTTCTATTTAGATACTGAAGGAAGACAAGATAACCCAATGCACTTTTTGAATGTATTACAAGTACACAGACTTGCTTCATCTATGTGCTACATTTACATTATGGCATGCAAGTGAGTAGTAATTCTGCTGATCTTTTTAGTATCATATCAGGCTCTGATATTGGAAAGAATTAAATTAAAGGCTTTTTTAACAAACAAGGAGAACTGGATTTAACATTAACAAGAATCATATCAGGAGCACTGACCTCTTTATCATGAGCTATCAATTGAGTTCTAACTGATCCAGTAACTGAGTCACCAACACTACCTATCACCTGACCAGTCTAAGAGGAAAGATAGAGAGAAAGGGAAAGAGGTAGAGGAGAGAAAAGGGGGAAAAGAAGACAAAGAGATAGAAATAGAAACAGAAAAAGAGGGAAACAATATTTTAGGCAATACAATATAAAATCATGCCAATTCTAGTTCATAATTTACTCAATTAAAAACTATGTGACTCAATATACTACTAGTATATAATAAACCAGGGTTCTATCCAGTGGGGGGGGGGCAAGCTTCCTCCCTGTGTACTGTTGTAATTGCATGCATGTACTGTACATGTGTATACAAGTATGTATGCACAACCTTCTCCCCCACCTGGTCAACTGCTCTGGGCTTCCCCCAAACAAAAATTCCTAGATAGAACCCTGTAAACATAGTACTAGCAAGCAAACTAAAAGTAACTTAATTTCATTATTAAGTGAAAGTTTCTGAAACAACTACTTCACGTCAAACAGGTTGACTCAGGTATCTATTACAAGAGACATAAAGTCAAATACTGTAACAACATCACATCTATAACTGATATTAACAGGTTAAACTGGTTTGTATTACTGTTTTAAACTGGTTATTAACTACAATATAACTTATAATAGGAGGATCAGTATATAAAGACCAGCAGTGTTGTGTGACAGAATATCAATCTCTTATATTTCTCTCTCAGTCTCTCTTTTAGTCTCTTTCTCTTCCAATGAGGTCACTAGTTGTGTGTTCAGTGTTGCTCTCAATACTGACACTAGCTGCATCAAGGAATAACAACAATACTGGACTCTCCACCAACAAACAAACCTATCTTGAGGTGCTGCGTGGTAGAGATGGTCGTGATGGAGCACCAGGAAGAGATGGAGTGAAAGGAGAGAGAGGAGATAAGGGAGAGAAAGGAGAGAAAGGTGAAACTGGACCTGTAGGACAAGCTGGTCCTAAAAGTGGAGGAGTAGTGTACACTCGTTGGGGAAGGAAGTCCTGTCCTACTGGAGCTGAACTACTGTATGAGGGAATAACTGGAGGTGAATGGCATGCTCATACAGGAGGAGGAGCTAACTATGTCTGTTTACCAAAGGTCCCTCAATATATGAGTACAACTGTACCTGATCTTTATTCTCACATGTATGGTACTGAATATCAAGTCAATAATCATATATTTTCAGGAAAGCATGATCACAATGTTCCTTGTGCAGTATGTTATACATCTACTAAGAGTGTTAAACTGATGATTCCTGCTAGAACCAGCTGTCCTTCATTATGGACTATAGAATATAAAGGATATCTGATGGCTGAACGACATAATCATGCAAGCAATAAAGTCTATGAGTGTGTTGATGAAAATCCTGAATCTATTGATGGCAGTGAGGCTGATACTAATGGTGCTCTGCTCCACTTTACAAGGTCAACCTGTAATGGTCTACCTTGTCCACCTTATGTTAACAATAGAGCTATTACTTGTGTTGTGTGTACTAAGTAACAATTTGAATTAATTAGCAGTGTGTGATACAATTTCTTTCTAGGAATTTTATTAATGATATAATATGAGTGAATAAATTTCTTTTAATAATTTTTTGATTATAATGATCAAACTTCACAAAATTTCAGACACTGACTGGCATAGTAATATAACTATTGGTACTTTTTAAAATCATTGCAGTCTAATAATAGAATTACTCCTGTTAGTTACACAAACTCACATAATCATTACCACTGCCTTGTTTTTCATGCCATTACACTTTACTAGTACATACAATTAAGTACTAACCTCTAGTCCCCATATAGTACAGGTAGTATCAATACTAGATGCTCCCAGTATATTAGGATCAGTTTCATTCCAATCAAATGATGTCAAAGGAGCACAAAACTCTCAATTCTTACTCTGTGGAATATAAACAATTTAAAAATATTATTAAACAGAGAAAGAAAGTAGAATGAGAGTAAGTATAGACCAC